CTTTTTAATTTGACGACCTATCTGTGGATGATTGCATGCATAATGTACGAGCAATGCATTCCCAATTTTAATTTCACGCACTCATGCATGATAAAAAAAATACAATCAGAAAAAATTATGTTGAAATAAAACAATCTGATATTTTTTTCATTAAAGAAATAAAATCAAACTAAGAGAGAGAGAGAGAGAGAGAGAGAGAGTTTCTGACAGTGTAGCTGTGGTGGTAATACCGTATATAGCTTATGTTTTACTCTGAATAGAAATAATGTGTAAGCTAACAAAAATAAGTATAATATTCAAACACTGGATCTGCAGCTGAAAACATGCATTAATATGGCTTTAATTGTCTATTTGTTTTACAATCCACCATTTTCTTTCTCTAAACAAATACACAATTATATTTAAGTTTTCTAAATGTGTATATTAGATATGATTCATCGTGGAGGGAAGGAAGGAGGGTGGTGGAGCTTGGGGTTCTGGTTGATGAATTGTCTGGCTATAAACAGTGTGGATTGTCACTTCAGGTTGTCTCACACCCAAGGAATACGCGATTGTGGCTTAGGTAACTTTCTTCAGGTTCGGTGTCGAAATTTATGGTTTGGACATTTCAATGTGATTCCAAACGGAAAACGCCATGGTCGTGTATGGGATGCTAATACCAAGTAAGCTACCGGTATTTATCAAAATTTATGGTGTACTGTAGATATGTATGCATTCAAATTGTGTTAATGGATTTTATCAACATGTTACATTTTTCTTACAATTCAACAGGAATGATTCATACAAGCATTGACCCAGCTCAAGTAAATTGCCTTTTAACATGAAATATGTGAAGATAACGAAGAGTATTCGAGCTCAAATGTCCATTAATCATTACAAAATAGGAGCAGAGCAAACACGGACCTCAAAGACATCAGAGGTGGGATCAGGTGCCCTGGAGGAGTGAGCATCCACTGCCAATCGATCACACCCTCCGTGTGTTCCTTGTCATAATCAGGAAATAACGGGAAAATCCGTCGACAATTCAGTGTGTAAATAATGGACTAACAATTAGTATGATAAAAGTCAGTCATCTTTTCTTTTGACTTAATGAAAGATTATATTTGCTGGCAAGGTCATTGTGTCTACCATAGAACTTATGAAATGATAAATTTAAACGAGACTGCTGATATTCTTGTTTCATCAACTTGTTTGTCAATAACTTACCTCGGTTTAGAAATTGTTCATACGTAGAGCATGCTCTGGCGTATCGAATATGATATAATATGTATAAAATTACGACGCCAGTTAAAAGATCGGGGTTCCCAGCTATATTTAGGGCCTTTTGTAGGCTGACTTTGGGTGCGGTCTATAGTTCATCGACGTTAACTATAGTCCAGTCGAACGCAGAAAAGTCGAGCGGAAGTTGAGAAAATTTGAATCTTTAGTCAACTATCCTTACCGCGTGCTAGACCTCTAGTTCAAAGATGGCGGATGGAGTTGTTAAAGGTAAGATTGACAAAAACAAAGTTTAATCTAAAGGCATTTGACGTTCAAGAAATACATGTATGTTGACTTTTTAATTTCACATAACGCTAGAAAGTGAATTAAGTGCGGAAAGCTGCACTGTAACATATAACACACGGAATATTAGGAAATCTATAATGAATGATCCCTGTGTTTATAACTAAGTATTTAGTAATGTACAATGTAAATGTTAGTGTTATAATGAAATTCTCTAAATATAAATATAATGCAAGTCTTTTGCATGGGTTTGTTTATTGTATGAATGACAAGGTTTGAGCTAAGCTGCTAAGAGAACAAGAACGTTGGCGTTGCATTGAATGCAAAAGCAAACCAGATATATGTGCCATACCCTCATTGATTGAACATGAAAAGAAGAAACTTCCTTTTTTATTGATAAATATAGGTAAATTTCAAGAACTGATTACTATCATGAAATTATGAACACGCATAAATTAATGGGGACACCACATACTGCATAATTATGGCCCATTGCCCATTGGGGAAAAATATAGTATTTTTATTTTCTTTCAGGATTAGCCTGCGCTGTCATTTTTGTAAGTTGAACTTCCACGCAGATTGTGCTGGATACGAAGTAGTGTTACTGTTGACGGAGGAAGATAAGGAAGTTTTGTGTAATTACTGTGCTGAGAATGGAGAGGTTTGTATCAGATGTTGTTTTTAATCATGTAATATGTATAATTTATAAAGTTTTTTTTTTTTAAAGAGAAAAACACAAGACTCTTATCTAAACCCTGATCTTTTCAGATAAAAGTGATACTAATTAATGTCTTAAACACATGGCAATTAAATCTGTTATTGTACATATTGAAAATGTCAGCTTTACATTTTTAATGTTAAAAAATATATCCTTTATTAAATTTTGAGAACTTTTTCACCATGCAATATTTACCAAACATTCCTATCTTGTAGCCTAACAACAGTGACAGTGAAAGGAAGGACAGATGGGGCAGTGCGCAAACTGCAAGTCAATAAATCAATTCTGAATTCTCTTCTGTCGCCTTATGTGTCTCCAGACATGAAACAATTAATGATAAATGGATTAAAACCAAGATCAGATAAATGATGATGGTAAGAAATCATCAACCAGCGAACCTACTACAAATAAATCATCAAACAGTGAAGCTACCACAAATAAATCAACCAGTGTGGCCACCACAAATATATCATCAACGAAGACGACCACCACAAATAAATCATCAACCAGTGAAACCACTGTGAAAGAACCACCAGTCACTACCGATGACTCCTTTAAAGTATGGAAAGAAACAGAAGAGAAATTTTTGATTGATACCAGACATCAAATGGATGATTTGTTTAATAGAAACCGAAATCACTGGGAGTTATGGAAAGCAATCTCTGAAAAACTGTTTGATGTTCTGAACTGCAGAGTAACTCAGAATTAGTGCATGTACAAATACAATACCCTAAAAAAAATGGAAAGAAATAAAAGATGCTCCATCTGGCACGAAAGCCAAACATTTCAGCCACAAAGAAGAATTCGACCAATTCTATGGCACAAAAGCGAGTGCAAAACCCCAACATACTATTGATTCGGATAAAAAAATAGATGAAGTTCAACAAGATGATGTAGATGAGGAACTGATAAGCATGAAGAAAAAGAAGAAAAAAAATGAAGACATATGAAAACAGGATGTTCGTAAGCTTCTGGAAGAACAACATTCTCAATTCCTAAGCCAGATGGAAAAAATGCATAACGACAAAATGCAGAAAATTGATAAATTTCTTGAAATAATGTCAAAAACAGTTAGATCCCAGTTGCTGATAGTCAGACTTTGTTTGGATTTTTAATATTTTTCTATTATAGTGCTGCACTGATAGAGCAGTACTACATAGCCTGTTTAATATTAATCTTTTTAAGCTAGTAGTCAAGAAATGCTGAAAAACATTCTTTTTGTTTATGCAGGCAAGCTTTAGTTTTTTTTTAAAGTATTTGTACCATATTTTGGTTCTGACATTTGAAAGGGGGTCAAAGCTAGGTAGAATATCAAATAAATAAAAAAAAAACATGTCAGATATCATAAATACAATAAAAATAAAGTTGTTAAGCTTTTCATGCAAGAGCTGTTTGTAAATCTGTCGTTTTATATTGTGACCCTCACATGAATCATGGCGACATGGTGTAAGTGAGCAATGAAACCCATGTGCCCTTTTTTGTTTTTGTTGTTAAATTTTTTTGTTATGAAGTCCCCAATGCAAATTTTTCCATTGTGATACCATTATGTCACATTATCAAGTACTTGTACATAAATGTGCATGCGTCATATGTCAAGTCAATTTCCGGTATTATTGTTATATTGGGGAATCTTATTTTTATTTTTTAAATTGCTCAGGGAGAGTTCCATGAGGAACTTAGTTATTAGGATAAAAAAGCTTATTAACAGATGCAGAATATTGTACAAGGATTTTGAAAGAGGAATATTTAGAAATACATATTGTAATTGTGTTGTTGGTTCTTACCAACATTCTTGGTTATTAAAGCTTTGATTTTGATATAAGGTCATCATAAATAATATATTTTATCTGATGATGTACTCGGCATACAATTTTCGAATATGTAGTTGAAGACCAGTATCATTGAACTCTCACTGAAAGCATGTTAAAATTACTTTTTCATTATCTAAAGATTACTGTCGCTGCGCAATTAAGGATGGATGTTTTTTGTGAGTAAGTCGAAGTACAGAACATAACTTTGAGCAAAACGGTTATATTATGGGACTAAATTATACATATGTAAACAGGGTTTACACACTTTAAAACATTCTACACTTTGCAGATTTCATAGTTTATTGGCTTATTTACAAAAGATTTCACAAGAAGACCAAAAAGTTAAAGTAGACTTTAAAATCTTGCAAATTGAATGATTCTAAAGGATTAAACTATGTTTAAATAAATGTAAATTAGAAATTTATTAGCAGTATTATATGTTGTTCTTAGTCTTAAGTTATTTTGTAAAACTTGGCCTAACACACCATATTTAGTGTAGAATTAAGAAAAGGTCATTAATCTTGTTCTTTAACACAAGTATGAGGTATCCGCCTTTGTGTCATATTGAAAATTTTAACCCAATATTCTTAGTGCTTATATGTATGAGCTTATTAATAATCATTTTGACTCTTTCTGCTCTTCAATACACTGTCATAATATTTATTAAATGCATTCGTATTATTACAAATTTTAGGATAAATATCAGCAAGTCAAAATGATGAAAACAGGGTGAAGAATAGTTTATTACACCGGGATCCTTCATTATAACAAGATAGGCAACTTGCGAAAGTATACACATCCCTGATTACACATCCATTTTATAAAGTGTTCCATTTTCATGGTCACACACATTTTAAATTTGTTGAAGAAGTTTTAGTCTCCTTGCCACACCATGAACTCCTTGTTGGTAGATGTTCTCACATTCATTCTCTGCATCTTCTAGGATTGCATTAGTGTCCATGAACTATTCAATAACATGAACTATTCACACACAAATTGTGCAAAATACACCCAGCCATAATTAATTTTGCTATATGCCTTGGGTTGTGAAATGTCACCTCCTTCAAACGACGAAACCTTCCTTTAAGGTGGGCAACACACCTTTCTACTGATTGTCTTGCACTAGACAGTTTGGTGTTGTACTTCTGCTGTTGTGGTGTAAGGTGTCCATAATTTTTGAATAAGGAAATTAGCCAAGTGCGCAAAGGATAGGCATTGTTAGCCAAATTGTGATGATTGTTAATTATGGCTTGGCCCTCTTCTGCTTTCTGATACAGTGTTGAATTACGCAGAACCCTTGCATCATGGGTGCATCCAGACCACCCTGTGTATGCACTTATGATTAGCATGTTGCTGTCGGTCACAACCTGCAAAATTGAGGATATATTATTTTAAAAAGGCAGAAAGATATGTGACAAGTTCTAGTAAACATGGTAAAATACTATTCTCAGAGAAGTTTTTAAACTGAAACTGGAAATGACAAAATGATTTTAAAATGTTTAAGGTTTAACACATCTTGAAATTAAAAGGTGAAATGGAATACATGGATCCTCTTTACACTACTTTTATACAATAATTTTGGATCTGGTTAGATACTAGTACCTGTAACTGCATTGATGGAAAACCTTTTCTGTTATAATAGTCTCTGTCACCGTCAGGTGCACTTGCAAGACTGATATGAGTGCCATCCATGAACCCTATCACACCTGGAATGCCATATTTGTCTTCTACCTCTCTTGCAGTTTGCTGCTGTTTCTGAGCAGATGGCCACTGAATGATATACCGTAAATGAAATGTGAAAGAAAAATACAACGTTATGGACTTTTGAGAGAACGCTGACTTTTACAGTTGACGGCTTACTTTGGCATTTAAACCTGTGTTATGTATGGAGGTACGGAATTGATAATAGATACGAAAACATAAATAATGGTTAAAGTTATGGTTTTAGGGGCACTTACATCATTTACCAACACCAGAGATTATTGGAGGAAGAATAAAATTACTTAAAATGTCTTATTCATGAAAGATAGTATCTCCTTTTATTTTCATGTTCTTCAGGAACTAAATAATGAAGAAAAAAATATTCCGGAAGGAAAACTTGGCAGTAGTTGGTTAAGCTGGGAGGGGAGGGGGCTGTTTGTATGTCAGTTGCTTTTCTCTTCCTAGACAACGTAATATGGGCTCTGAAATGACCGATTATTATCGATTTAGTAAATGTTAAACTAAATATTTATATCGCAAAAGAGCTTCCAGATATTTTCCTAGTGTAAAAGTAAGTTGTCGATTGTAAAAGTCAGCGCTTCTCGCAAAAGTCCACTAGCAGGCCATAGATTTCTGATTACATTTCTTCTTAAATATTTCAAGATTTCTTGTTTTAATGATGCATTTGCACAAGCAGCATTGTATATATATATATATATATATATATATATATATATATATATATATATATATATATATATATATATATATATATATATATATATATATATATATATATATATATATATATATATATAACAAACGTATGTATTGATATGTCTTGACTATATGATTTAACATAAAATTTTCCCATATATTTGCTATTTTATAACCCACGTTCATAATTAAAAAGTCCAAAATTATGAGTGTAATACCCTCGTTTGCAGATCCAAAACTGCCTCCATCCCTTACAAAAAAAAATACTATAGTAAACTATAGTTAACTATAGTTTACTATAGTTAACTATAGTACCAAAGTAAAAACTTGGGAACTTTGATTTACTACAGTAAAAACTTTCAATTGGAACTTTAATTTACTATAGTGAAAACTTTGAAACTTTGATTTACTATAGTAAAAACTTTGGAACTTTGATTTACATTAGTGAAAACTTTGGAACTTTGATTTACTATAGTAAAAACTTTGGAACTTTGATTTACTTTAGTGAAAACTTTGGAACTTTGATTTACTATAGTAAAAACTTTGGAACTTTGATTTACTATAGTGAAAACTTTGGAACTTTGATTTACTATAGTAAAAATTTTGAAACTTTGATTAAGTACGATAAATCCCGTGGAATTATGTTTTTGATTCCCATTCTTTACATTTTATGATATTTCAAGTTTAAGATTCATAAAAGATTTAGAGAACATTTTAAAAACCCAACCGCTCCCCTAAAATAATAATGTACAAGATATGAATTTTAATGTAAACATTGTCGCTTGCGCCGATAAATAAGAATATTTATTTCAATGTATTTAATTTTAATGTTATGCAGATGTAACGTAAGTCTTATTTATGGAGAAAAAATAATATATTATAAAAAAAAAATGTGTCATTTAGAATCATTTCTGCATCATCAACTTCAATCAACATGTATTCTTTTTTTTTAATTTTTAAATGTAAATATTGCATTCAAGTTAACTACTTTGTATATGAAAATAAAGATGTACAACAAAAACCAGTCCTAACCAACCCCATATCCACCCCTCCCCTAAAACGGCTAAATAATAATAAAAAAAAAATATTAAAAATACATAAGTTGTTAAACTAACGAAAAAAACTTCGAAACTTTGATTAAGTATAGGAAAAACTTTGAAACTTTTATTAACTTTGGTAAAAACTTTGGAACTTTGATTTACTATACTAAAAACTTTGGAACTTTGGTTTACTATAGTGAAAACTTTGGAACTTTGATTTACTATAGTGAAAACTTTGGAACTTTGGTTTACTATAGTGAAAACTTTGGAACTTTGATTTACTATAGTGAAAATTTTGGAACTTTGATTTACTATAGTGAAAACTTTGGAACTTTGATTTACTATAGTTAACTATAGTAAACTATAGTTAACTATAGTTTACTATAGTATTTTTTTGTTAGAGAAGACACGGTTTATAACGTCATGAGGGTGGATATAGAAAGTCCAAAAAAATGTCCACACTCTCTCATAGACTGTTGATTTCCTATGAAGTTAAGAAAAACAAGCAGCTGTTTCTTGGGCTGCGCAGGTAGGTTAAGGCTTCCCGAAGAATATGACAGTGCACTCTGTGCCTTCACATCTCTGAACTACCAAAATATGACGTCATAATGGAAAATGACGTCAGGTCACTGCAAACTTGAGGTGTTAAGACGGGGAGATTGTCATGAACTTTACACTTTATTTCAAACTGCATGTAAAATGCTAGATAGATATTGCAAAATTCACGGGTCGTTAAAGGTTTTTTAAGTCTTATATGTCCGAATATTTTAAAAATACACCGCTTACCTACCCTTGATTGAAATTCATCATGTTTAAAATGCTTATGAAAAATATACTTTTGAAATGTACTCTGTTTTATACCCGTGGTTGGAGGTAGAATTTATTTTGGGTGTATAAAAGAGTCTGGCGCAGGTGATTATTGAGGATTAATCTGAGAATTTTTGTGGAAATCTGTAAGAAGAGGTTGTTCTCTAACCGAATCTTGCTTGGGAAAAATGTGTGTTGGCTTTGTTTTGATACAGATTACGATACTGTGTGGAAAATACCCTCAGATTTGTAGGTTGGTTGAATTTCTCAGGAAATATTTTGTACCCAAGTAATACTATGACTTTTCCCAAGCACATTTCGGATACACAAGGATACGATGAGTTTATTTATATAACAAAATGTTAATAGTTATTGTGTTAATCAGCTGCGCCGGAGCAATTTATATGAAACACTTCAAAAAATTACGAATGACCGTCACGTGATCAATTAGGTCATGTGATATCATAACAAATATGTTAATATATAGCCGAGGAAACCCTCTATATGAATTGGAAGTACTAAAGTTCAATACTTATGAATTAAAACCAAAACCGACCTCGCAATGACATATTATGTTTTGAGCACATTTTAAAGCTTCGGGAAGCGTTAACATAGCTGCGTATGTTTTGAGCGTATTTTAAAGCTTAGGGAAGCCTTAACATAGCTGCGTGGACAGGTGCTGACCACCCTCGGTTATGGCGCTCTAGACTTCCATGAAGTTCTCGCAACATGAAATCAAACATTTCTAAATCGATTCTGTAATGAATCTTGAAATCGCCAACATTTCTGTACAGTTTTATATCACTTTAAACCTCTTCATACGTGCGAACTTTGGGGGTTGACCTTCTCTTGTTGTTGTCCAAATATAAAAAAGTTACAAGACAATTTTTTTCTGTTCAATCGCCATTAACTGCTCTTTATCTGTAATCATTTCTATGAAAAACACCAAGTCAGCCATATTTCTTCTATCTAACAAGACTATTCTGTATTCGACTTCTTCGATAGTTTGACCATGCGATCTATCACTTCCTTTACCAACTAGAGTTTTCACTCGAAGTCAGCCATAATTAGTGATCTAAGCTCCTTATTATTAACTATACTTTCATCGATGAATATTCCTGCTATAAGTACGAATACCTTCCAGAATAGAAAACAGAGACAGGGCTAGCCATTGAAAAAGTTGCTGAGGACATTATCTAACATGTTTTACAAGATGAAATCAAAGAAACAGTTAAGTAAGTATATTCATGTATACATCCATAAATAATGATGTTAGATCTATAATATATGCCACAATATTCCCTGACAAAATTGTACTTTGGCATTCTTTTAATCAATATTTCAAAATAATAATAATAATAATGATAATAATAGGGGTAATAATAATTATAAAATAAAGCAAAAACAAAAAAGACATTCTTCTTTTTTAGAAACGAAGGAGCTGAAAATACTAACTGTTAGTTAAGACGCTGGACAGCAGAGGAGAGGAAGTGGTCACTCATTTGACAGACTTTTAGGTAAGTAAGACAAGCTGATAGTCTGCAGCTGTAATGTCTGCAATCAACATTAGATGTGAGGTCCAAGTAATATTTTTTCTTTAATTCCGTTTCATTTTAATTGAAGGACACTGCTTAATGATTAGTGAACACATTGGAATAGTAATAGGCTACGAAGGTAGCAGCAAGGTATGCCGAATATGTGAAAGTGCTGAGAGGGATTGAATTTATTGTTTATTGTTTAACATCCCGTTTGAGAATTTTTCACTCATATAGAGACGTCAACGTATACCGATGAAGGGCTTCAAATTTAGAAGTTTACTTAGCACTCAGGTCTTTGAGCAGTGAGGGTTCTTTATCGTGCCAACGCCTACTGTGACACGGGGCCTCGGTTTTTAAGGTCTCATCCGAAAGACCCGCAACTTTCACTCCAAAGTGCTTGGTGAAGGAACAGTTGCTATCTTTTTTTTTTATTGACTTGGGTCAGTCGCAGCCGAACACAAGGCCTCACGATCTCGGAACGAGTGCTCTACCGACTGAGGTACAGTTACGGTTGAGAGGAATGGGGAAGAAGCTAAGGAACATGACTGTAGACAAAATTGGGAAGGTATTAAATACTTCAATTAAAATGAGTTGTTTGGATACATGTATGCATATTTGAGGTTAAGAAATGTATGCAGGTATGTGTTACTCTTGGTTTTATATACATGTGTTTGTTTATTTTTAAAATAAACTGACTGAACACTTAGTAAGCTGCTAAAATAGCAATTTGTGATACTGAGAAATATACATATCTTTGAATTTAACTTTTAAATGCAATATTAATCTTCCTAAACATTACATTGACATTGTTTTTCAATTTGTATTTTGAATTTTTTAAGAAGTTCTAAATCTATGAACCAAGTATGGTCACCAGCACGATAGAGAAAAAAATGGACAAAGGAAATAAAGGTGTCTACTGTTATAGAAAATGATGACACCACCATCATTTTACTACTGAAACAAAGCGTGAATCCAT